GAGACACCGAAGGCTGGGTGGACGCTCCTCTTTTTTTTCTCCCCCCCCCCCTTTTTTCTCGCTCGAGCCTTGCAATTATGCCCGTATACAGGTCAAGTTTTGGCATTTCTCTCCATTAGGAGGCGCCTGGCTGGCTCGAGGGGCGGGGAAGGGAGGGGAGGGGACGGGGAAGGGAGGGGAGGGGGCGGGGAAGGGAAGGAAGGAGAGGGGAAGGGAGGGGAACGGAGTGGACAGGAGGGGAGGGAGGGAGAGAAAAAAGGGAGCTGGCTGCGGAGAATTAGGGCTTCCAAGTCACCAGCTCAGGACTCTAGCGAAGGATGACAAGGCCCTGCAATTTATGGGCTGCTGCCTGCCGCCCCGCCGCCTGCAGTGCCCATGGCAGTGCCCATGGCAGTGCCTGCTCCCGGCGGGTAGAGTTCCTTCCATTGAACCTGTTGCGTCGCGGCGCCAAGTCGTAAATAGCCGAGTACCCCTCGGGGGCGCCGGAAATGCCCAGCAGGGGAACTCGATAGTGGGGTTAGTTGGATGAGTCGACTTTTCGACCGGGCGAGGCCGCGCGCGTAAACAACGACACGACAGTGGGCCAGAAGACCGCTGGAGGCGTCAAAATCCCAGGCGCGTTTTGAGCGCCAGAGTCGCTAAATGGGACTCGAACCGAACGTGTGACCCCACCAATGGATTGCTCTCTGAACGAGGAATCCATTGGTGGGGTGACACGCGCTCGGTTCGAGTCCTGTTTAGCGACTCTGGAGCTCAAAACCCAGCAAGAATTTTGGCCGCCTCCACGTGTCTTCTGGCCGCTGTTGTGACGGAGCAATCGATAATTCGAGGGAGACACGTTTACCTGTCTTGGTTTGCCGTATACACAACCTCGGAAGACAGATGACCTCTCTCGCGACTCTCTACTTCACACTAAAAACTTTCGTTGTAAAGCCTATTTTTCGCTTGTAACGTTTAGTTTCGAGAGCGTATACAAATTTGTGCACGACAACTTCGTGCAGAGACTTTTCGCAGAAAAACGCATACGTCCCCAAAATTGCGTTAGACCGCGTACGTAAATTAATTGTTTAATTGTTGAAAAGGAATTCAGAGTGGGGAGAGCGGTGGCCATCAATGATGCGCGGTAAAGGGTAAAGGCAGGCGGCCATGAAAAATGAAACCAGGTCAAAGCGGTTCTGGCGAGGCCGGCGAATTGCAATCGCGTTTCGATTCCCGTCCTGCATCATTCACGCGCCTGAGTTTCTGCCAACCGCGTGGATACTAATATGAAAAGCGCGCGGCTCGTAAGATCGATGTTTGTCCGCGTGGCGCGGCCGGCCGAGGCGAAGCGAGGTCCGCAACAGCCGCAACAGTTTCCCCCTTCCGTCCTGCTTTTTTGTTTTTGTAGCTTTGTTTTTGCTTTGGTCCATTTCACCTTCTGGCGAAGCCTTGACGGCAGCCTGCTGCTGGTTGCAGCTTTTTCTCACAGCCAAATAGCCTGCGTTTATGCTCCTCGGCGCCAGGGCCTCGCTAGGCCTCCAGTCCTGGCGGGGCGCTCAGTGGGCCAGAAGACCGGTGGAGGCGGCCAAAACTCTAGACGCGTTTTGAGCTCCAGAGTCGCCAAACAGGACTCGAACAGAACGTGTGACCCCACCAATGGATTGCTCTCCGAGCGAGGAATCCATTGGTGGGGTCACACGTTTGGTTCGAGTCCTGTTTAGCGATTCTGCATCTCAAAACGCGTCTACACTTTTGGCCGCCGGCGCCGGTCTTCTGGTGGCGTGAGTGCGCCCTGTGGGCCCACGAATCAGCTCCACGGCAAACAAGAAACAAAAAGCAAGCGGCATAAAAAAACAACAAAAACAATAGCAAAACAGACGCCGAGAGGGCAGAAGGGGCGCGCGCGGAGAAAAGGGAGTTAAATCAAGGACAGAATAAAAGGAAATGAATGCAGATATCTTCCCTTTGACTTTCCCTTTCCAGCAGTGATTGCCAGGCAGCGCCTCGCACGAGCAAAAACAAAAACAACAACAACAACAACAACAACAAGCAGCGACTCGCACGGGCTTTGCGCCCTTGTGTCTGCAGCCAGCGCAACAACAACAACAACAACAACAACAAGAGCCTCTCATCGGTTGGGCAAAGGAGACCCCGGCCGCTTGTCGACTCCGGCGATGTCGACGATACGCGAGGCATTAATAATGGGCAAAATACTGTGGCAAGGGAAAGGCGGGTCTTTGGAAAAAAATCTCATTCAACGAACGTTAATGAAAGCAGATGATATTCGTTTGGTTTTCTTCTAGGTAGTAGTTCGGGATTATTAATGATTTCCGTGATCGGTTCGGCCACGGTTCTCTGCACCCTCCTCATTCTGGACATCCTGGGCTTCATCAAGCTGCAGTCCTGGAAATTCATACGCTGAGACGGCAAACGCAGAGAGGGATTGGACAGAGCCGCGTCGCGCCTCCTGTCGCGGCTAACCTATCTTTCTACACGCGTTCCGCCGTGGCACTTACTTTTTTCTCGATTCTCCCGGTAGCGCTGCCGGTCCCTTTCACGTTTACGCTGCCGCTGTTCTTCCGTCAGCTTCCTGGGCGCCATCGCTTATGCCATTTCTTGCCTTAGAGGTGGCTCCGAAGTCGGTACGAGGTGACGAGGTGTGCCCCGCACACAAGCCGAGCCGAGCCCGCCTGAGTCCTTGCCGCGCGAGGTCCGCGGGCGCCCGCGGGGCTGAGCCTAGCCGGGCGGCATTGTTGAATTCCGCGCAGGCTGCGCCGCGGCCACAGCCAGCCAGACAGACTCACCATCCCGCCCCGGCAGCCCGCCCCTACTATATTGTTAGGATACGCACTTCGTTTCTGGACTCTAGAGTAAAAGCTAGCTGACACCTTTGTGTCTCGTAGTATTAGGTGTATATTTTAAAGCAAAGGTAGCAAAGGTATCATCTGCTAAAAAATCTCCTTCAACGAACGTTAATGAAAGCAGTTGATACTCCTTTGGTTTTCTTTCGATGAAATTCGTTTGGTATTGTCGTGTGTGCTAGTTGTAGCAGTGTGCTGCCGGTATCGTCCGAACGAGGCCGAGCTAGCGCCGAAGTCGGCACGAGCTGAGGAGAGCCGAGGCCTGCCCGAGTCGCCCTTTCGGCGGGGAGGGATTGTCGCCGAGGAGGAGGTGCCATTGTTTACGCCCGGTGCCGCTGGCGCTGTACGGGGGAGGCATTGTCAAATTCCGCGCAGGCTGCGCCTCATGGCCACACGCACCAGCCCGCCCCGGCGGCCAGCCCCTATTATATTGTAAGGATACGGGCTTGGTTTCTGGACTCGAGAGTAAAAGCACGCTGACACCTTCATGTGTATAGTAGTTTTAGGTATGTTTCAAGTGTGGTGAAGGTATCATCTGCTAAAAAACATTAGCGGTAGCCTTAAAAACCAGTGGGTTTAAAATGTAAATGGGGAAAAGACGATTGTGAAAACAACAACAACGAGCAATGCATGCGCGCGGCTCGCTTTGGTGCTGCCGCGCACAGCTTGGAATAGGGAATGCCAACAAGGGGAAGCAGGCCAATTGAATACCTCCCGAGATGCAATGCCTGGAGGGGCTGGAGGGGCTTCAAGGGCTGGAAGGGCGTGGCGTGGCCAAAGGGGGAGAGAGAGAGAGAGAGAGAGAGAGAGAGAGAGAGAGAGAGAGAGAGAGAGAGAGAGAGAGAGAAGCCGGGTGAGGCGGCAAGCGGAGTAAACAGACGCCCTGGGTCTGGACTGGATGCACTCGTGCACATACGGCAGAGACAGAGAGAGACTGAGGAGGGAGAGAGAGGGACGGAGGGAGAGAGGGGGAGGAAGGGACTGGGAGAGAGAAGGGGTGGAGAGGGGGAGACTAGAGTGCCGCACCTACGGGTCACCCACCTCCTAGCTCCTGTTGGCCGTGCGCGCGGGTGGAGTGCCGTCGCAAAGGCTGCTGCACTTAACTTATGGCTCAAAGCGCACGTCGAGTTGTATAGAGAGGCACGTTGCACAGTGGACCAGAAGACCGGTGGGGGCGGATAAACCTCCAGACGCGTTTTGAGCTCCAGAGTCGCTAAATGGGACTCGAACTGAACGTGTGACCCCACTAATAGATTGCTCGTCGAACGAGGAATCCATTGGTGGGGTCACACGTTCGGTTCGAGTCCCATTTAGCGACCCTGGAGCTCAAAACGCGTCTAGAGTTTTGTCCACCTCCACCGGTCTTCTGGCCCACTGTGCGTTGCAACAGAAAGGGATGGCGCGCTGCGCTCCTTCCTTCCAAGTCCTTGCCTTCCGTCTCAAAGAGTGAAGGCCGACGTGCTCCGGCGTGCCGGGCCGAAATCGCGAGGAGAGACGCTGCCGCTTCTTTCACTGGGAGATGCATTTCAAATTCGGATGAGTTGTGTACGAATCTGCATGTATGCGGGAGCAGAGCGCTGGCGAAACGCGGCAGCGAGGCGGATTGTCAGTCTCCGAGTCAGTTTAGAGACAGCGACGCTGCTGTCTGTGTGTCTGTCTGCATGTAATGTCTGTTTGCCCGTTTGTCTGCCTGCAAGTCTCTTAGTCTGCACTCTTTTCAGTACTTCTACTGCCGTTACTGACATTTTTAAATACTCGTTACTGCCATGTACCAAGGAATCAATAAACTGAAATTGAATTGCTTGTCTGTCTGCTTGTCTGTCTGGTAGTCTGTCTGCTTGTCTGTCTGCTAGTCTGTCTGCTTGTCTGTCTGCTTGTCTGTCTGCTTGTCTGTCTGTCTGTCTGCCTGTCTGTCTGCCTGTCTGTCTGTCTGCCTGTCTGTCTGCCTGTCTGTCTGCTAGTCTGTCTGCTTGTCTGTCTGGGAGAGGACGACAAGCAACAATATTGGCTGTGTATAGACCCCCCTATGGCAAGACAGCGGACTTTGTGGATGAAATAGATGATCTACTGCAAGCGGAAAAGTGGAAAAATACTGTAATAATAGGAGACATAAATATTAATATTCTGCAGGAAGGTAAAATCACAAGTGATTATATAGATATGTTATTAAGTAATAAAATCAGGCACTGTATTAACAAATGTACCAGAGAGGAATATGCTGGAAACCATTTAAGTGAAACCTGTATTGATCATATTGCGGTAAGTGTTAACTATAAAAATGTGTATCCTGCAATAATAAAATGTAAAATTAGTGATCACTATATGGTAGGAGCTCTGCTCTCTTTTCAGAATAATAAAAATAAATGTGAGGAAGATGGAAAAAGTGAAAACAAAATGAAGAACATACTTGTAAAAAAGAGGTGGAAGGAAAACTTAAATAGTGTCAAAAATAATATGACGGAAAGTCCAAGTGAAAATTATTTAGAACTTAGAGAGGCATTTTCGTCTGCTACCATAAGGGTTAAAATGAAGGAGAGAAAAGTAAATGGACATGTAAGAAAACCTTGGATAACTGATGAGATTGTTCGCTTAATGCATGAGAGAGATAAAGCCTTCAAAAGATGGAAAGTGTCCTCGAAAGAAAGCTACTTAAAAAGACTGGAGCTGAGACAAGTTTATCAGGGTCTCAGAAACAAAATAATTTACTCTATTAAAAGAAGCAAGGAAAGATATATGGAGGAGCAATTTGAAAAATGTAAAAATGATATTAAGGCTACTTGGAAACTGGTAAACTCTGTATTAAATAACAAAGTGAGTGAAAATATTGACAACATAATTACAAAAATTTTGCGGGTATCTTAGAAATAGAAACGGTTGCCAATAACTTTGTCAATACTTTCAAAGATCAGGTTGAGTGTATTATGCATGAATGTCCGACACTCTTGCTGAAGAATGCAACTGACAGAATAACCAACTCTTTCTTTTTACCAGAAGCAACAATAGAGGATGTGATAAAAATTATTCTTACTTTAAAAGAAAAATCTCCTGGTGATGATGGAATTAAGGTATCACACCTAAGTGACAATATCGAACTAGTTGCTCCAATATTACAAAACATAATCAATAACTCAATAAAAAAAGGAATTTTCTGCGATGAAATCAAAATTGCCACAATCAGGCCTATTTATAAAACTGGATCACCCTGTGAATATAGTAATTATAGACCAGTCTCCATTTTATCAACTATAAGCAAGGCAATTGAGCTATATATGTATACACATTTATTCTCATACCTCAAAAAGTACAAAGTGATTGATGAACACCAATATGCGTATCAGAAGGGAAAGAGTACCATTGATCTGTTACAAAATTTCTCTGACATAGTAAATGAGTCCTTGGATAAAGGTATGCATGTTGTTGTAATGTTTGTGGATTTGTCTAAGGCTTTTGATTCCATTAGTCATGAAAAATTATTGAAAAGCTTAGAAAATATTGGGGTGAGAGGAGAAGCGTACAAACTGTTTAAAAGTTATCTGGAAAACAGAATGTGTAAGGTAAGTGTGGCAGGAGTTGACAGCTGCTGTGTAAAACTTAAGTATGGTGTACCACAAGGCAGTTTTCTTGGTCCCCTGCTGTACTTGATTTATATAAACGATCTAAAAAGGTGTTTTAAAAAATGTAAATATTTTGTGTATGCAGATGATACTGTGATAATTTCTGTACACAAAAACTTAGATATAGCTGAGGCAAGACTGCAGGAGGAGTTTACTGAGTACCAAAAATGGTGTCATGATAAGAATCTCATAATGAATGGAACAAAGACTAAAGTAATGCATATATCCACTCCTTATATTGCAAGAAGAGATCTTAACCTAAGATTTCATTCTATTGAGTGTATACACTGTAATATTGCAAATTGCACCTGCAAAATGAATATTGAAATGGTGGAGTCAGTGAAGTATTTAGGGTTGATAGTTGATAAACACCTAAACTGGAAAAGCCATGTTAAAATGCTAAGAGGGAAGTTGAGGTGTTGCCTGTATAAATTATCACAATTAAGTAACTGCTCCCCACATAACATAGTAAACATGGCTTATACAGCCCTCTTTGAATCAGTCATGAGTTATGGGCTTGAAGTGTGGGGATCTGCCTCGGATACAAACTTGCTCCCCATTAAATCATTACAGCAGAGAGCTGTAAAGATTGTGAAGAAAAAGCAAAGAGTTCCATTACCAAATACTATTTTAACATTAGAGAATTTGTACAAATTAAAAGTTTTAAAAAGAAATTATTTTAAGAAAGAGTTTAGAAATATAGTACAACATAGATACTTAACAAGAAATGAGAGTTTCCAATATAAGATAGGTATGAATAAGTATGGTGATAGACTGACAGAGGTGGTCGTGCCAAAAATACTAAATAAGATGCCAATAGATTTAAGGAATATAAATAGTCAAAGTGCCATGAAAACAAAATTAAAACAATATTTTTTAAGTACAAACAATTGAAAAATCTAAATAACAAAAAGAAAGGTGGAGTTTAAATTGTAAAAGATTTTTTTGTTTGTAAAAGATTTTTGTTTGTTTGTTTTTATTGTTTGTTATGACAGAAAGACAGTAAATCCACCCCTGACAAGCAGTCATGCTTAGGGGTTGTCTTTTTCTATTTTTAGGCAGTTTATTACTATGTTAATGTTTCTATCTGTAAGTGCCTTGTTTAAGTTTTTCTTAATAAATACGAATTGAATTGAATTGAATTGAATTGCCTGTCTATCTGCTAGTCTGTCTGCTTGTCTGTCTGTCTGTCTGTCTGTCTGTCTGTCTGTCTGTCTGTCTGTCTGACAGACGGCCTGTCACGTGGGCAGGCTCGTGAGAACGGCGGCCGTTGAGACGCAAACAAATTGAGACGCCATTGATATTGACACCCCGGCGGGCGGACAAGACTCGCGAATAACAAAATAGATCAATACGAGAGCGAGCCTGGTTCTCGTTCCGGCGTCCGTTGCACTCGGGAAGCCCGCCTCGGAAAATAATTCCCGAGAGGGTAAGGCTCGTGTTGACGAAGAGGCTGTCTCGCCGCTGCAATAACTCCGTGAGGCACTTCGGATTTTTGGCTTGATTTTTGAATTTTGATACACACTATTTAATTTGTTAGGTTTAGTCTATAGTACTATGTAGTTTTTTGCGCACAAACTTTGTACGAAACTGTGCATGCGTTTCAAAATGCACGAATTTCATGCGCAACTACGCACGAAAATGTGCGTAATTGCGCACAAATTCGTGCATTTTGAAACGCATGCTCAGTTTTGTGCAAAGAGGGCCCTTCTGGCCTTGTGGCCGGTGTCCCGAAACGGTTATTTAGGGTCTGATTACAAGCCTGCTCGGCCACGTGTCCTCGAGGGCTAAGACAGACACTGGCGAAAGGTCATCTCGCTCCTCCAGCTTGGGTCCGTCCTACCAGTTCTCTCCTCCTCACTTCCCTCACAGGCGCGAAGCGGGGGAAAAGGGGGAGGGGGTAAACGGACAATTTGAGCCCCCCTTCCCCCTTTTTCTGCCATTTTGAACCTGGATAGCTGTCTGAAAGGTAAGCAAAAAGCCACACTTTGTCCCTGTAACTGGACAAAAAGTGCTACTTTGCCCCTCCCTCAGGCTGGCTCTGCACACCCCGCCTGCCAGCCCCAGACACTTCCCTCTAACCGCGTACCTGCGCCTTTCCCCTGCACGGCAACCCCAACTTCCCACTCGAAAAAAAATAATAATAAAAACTGGAAATGGAGAGACAGAAAGAAAGATGTGACTGGTAGGTGGGGCGCGAACGACGCGCGGAGGCAGATTTCTGCGAAGCCGCGTCTGGTGCCAAGAAGGCGGAAAGGGGTGGGGCAGGGTGGGGGTGGCGGGTCCGTGCTGACGGCGTAGAACCTGAGACGAGAGAAAAACGCTACCTCGGCATTCGGTTCGGAGAAGAGGGTTGAAGCACTGCGTTACAAGACACGCCACACCCTCGCGATCGGCGTTGGCGCCTCCAGTGCTGTTGTTGTTGTTTTTGGCTTGCACTGCTGTCGTTCGTCGCGGCATCGCGCGTTATTGGTGTTTTTGTTTTTGTTCCTTTTTTATGTGCCGCATCATGTAAATTTCCGTGTCGCTCCAGCCAGCCAGCCCGGCTCCATTCCAGAGTTTCACTCCAGCGCGGGCTCCAGTGACGCCAGACGAGCTGCCGCCATCAGCGCGGCGGCCTCCAATGCGAATACGAAGGCGAGTAGGAATGGGAATGCGAATGTGAATGCGGCGTCGAGCCGAGGCGCGAAAATCGTCGGAAAGCGGAAAAGTGGAGCTAATTAGCGCGCTGTGCATCGCTCGATCCAAAGAGAAAAGTGGAAGTGGAGGGGAGGAGGGGAGGGGGAAGGGGCTGGGGTTCGCGCTGCGCGTGATTCCTAACGCTTCCCTTTTCCTCCAATTCCCGAAAAGCGTCGTTTTGCCGTCTCTCTCGCTCCGCATCGGGCCGCCCCGTGAGTGCGAGCGAGAGAGACAGCGCCCCGAAAAACAGTGCTCGCTCGGCTCTGAATCAGTCAGCAGGCCGGCGACGCGTCGCGATGGCGGATGACGCGGTTCGAGAAGGGGCGCGTCTTCTGCTTCGTTGTCCTGGCGCGGCTCGGTTCACGTGGCAGGTGCGGATCCAGAGGGGAGAAAAGCACAGGGTGAGAAAAGAAGTGAACCCTTACGGCGATCAAGTCTTGTACACTCCCAAGATCCTACAGAGCTTTTTCATCGTAATACGAACAAAAAGCTTAGTATTATGACAGCACAGCGAAGGTAGTAACGTATGGTGAGGGGTACTCAGTAACTTATGACCAGTTTCTTAGTATTACAAACCAATTTCTTTGTATTATGATAGATTTGTGTCGTAGAGTACTGAGAATTAGCTTAGTATTATGACAGCACAGCATTTCTCAGTAGGAAATTGGGAGTGTATTTGAGTCCAGTTATGTCGACTAAAATTGAAAATCCTGGAGTGCAATTCCTGACGAATGGTCTTTGAGACGTGTGCAGTAGGCCGGGCCGGTGTACTTTCCTTGCCCAACTTACCCCTACAGGGAGGCGAAAGGACAATTGATCGCTTGGACGCAACATTGCCGTCTGAAAGGTAGGCAATAAGCAACACTTTGGTCCTGTGAGTGGGCAAAAAGTGCTACTTTGCTCCTCCCTCGGACCGGCTCTGGATCCACCACTGTCACGTGGCAGCGTGGCAGTGGCGTGGCCGTGCCGTTGCGCAACTTTCTCCTCTCCTCCTTGGCAGGTCGGCCAGCAGACTGATTCCGAGTGAGAGGTGTCTCTCTCTCTCGCACTCGTGGTCCGTGCCGTGAAGGAGCGAGAGAGACAGAGCGACGAAAGCACAGTTCGGAATCACTCTGCAGGTCGGCCAGCTTGGCCGCCCCGAGGCGCGAGGCGCGGTCCGGCGCCGCCCGCCTCACTGTCTTGACTGGTCTGCAGATTGATTCCGAGGGCCGTTTTCGTCGCTCTGTCTCTCTCGCTCCTTTACGGGCCGCCCCACGAGTGCGAGGGAGACAGCGACGAAAACGACTCTCGGAATCTGTCGGCCGATGTCAGGTTTCCGTCTCAGCTATCCGGCCATTCAGAGTGCAGGGTGCTGCGTTCGGAAACGGAATTCTTGTCTCTGTCGCACTCACGGCGCCGTCTGGGGAAGAGCGACAGAGCGCGCCGGGTGATCGAACGCCCCAAGAACAGTTCCCACGATGCGATGCACCAGCGTCGTGGGTTGCCAACCACAGCCTCCCGAGCGATTCAGAGAAGAGTCGTCGCTCTGTCTCTGTCGCACTCATGGGGCTCTCCGTGAGGGTGCGAGAGAGACAGAGCGACACACCGATCGACTGCCTGCTACGCAACACCTTGGCTTTCGCTCAAGAGAAATGTCGCGGCGAGCGAGCGGAGGTCGGCAACCCTATATCGACGCTAGTGGAGGTTCACGTGCACTTTGTGCCCGCACTGTACCTGTGCGTTCGAGGCCGCGCCCCGACGAGTGCAGGCCGAGCGAGCCACGCGGGGTTCGGGGGCCTCGCCACAAACGGGGCGGCGAACACAGACACCCGTGTGCACACTGATTCCCCGCAGCGTTTCTTCGGCCGGGACGCCGCACGGGTGCGAGGGAGACAGAGCGAAGAGAGCACTGTCCTGAATATACTGGACCCTCCCTGACGGCACACAGTGGGCCAAGACCGGTGGAGGCGGCTAAAACTCTAGACGCGTTTTGAGCTCCAGAGTCGCTAAACGGGACTCGAACCGAACGTGTGACCCCACCAATGGATTCCTCGTTCGAAGAGCAATCCATTGGTGGGGTCACACGTTCGGTTCGAATCCCATTCAGCGACTCTAGAGCTCAATACGCGGCTTGAGTTTCGGCCACCTCCACCGGCCTTCTGGTCCACGGTGCGGCACCAGCTCCCCTGCTAAGCTACGGACCTCGAGGGGGACACTCTCGCCTCTTCCACGGGCTAGATGCAGGTACCGCCCCGCCCCGCCACGCCACGGCGGGCGCGCGTGGCGCTACAAGTAAATCACAAAAGGCATCAACAAGTTTGCGCTGCCGGAGCACTCGACGCAACGCGAGAAGCACGCTCCGGCGGAAAAAAGCGGAGGGGAAGGCGAGTTGTTGAACCCGGGGCAACACGTGTAGCAAGAGCGACGCCTTAACCGTTTTAAAGGTTTTTTTTTTTCAAGTTTGCTGCCCCAAAGTTTAGTTCAGTCTGCTCTCCGAATTTGGAAAACGGCGACGGACACGACCGCCTCTCGCAGGACGCGGGAAATTGGATTTGAAAATAAAGTTGTTATGTGTGGCGCGCTCGTAAAGGTCGCCGTGTGCGAAGCGCGCGAGGTAAAACCGCCATTACGCCGCGCGTGCAGCGCCTGCGGGCAGCGCTGTCTCTCTCGCACGCCGACGCGGCGCCCCGCGGGAGCGAGAGAGACGGAGAGAGCGTTCAAAATAGAGCCGCCGGGACGCTGGAAGGGCGAACGACAGCTGCTGGCCTGCCGGGGCCTGCCGCCCTGCCCAGCGGCACCACTGATCCCGAAGAGGCGTCCCGTCGCGCTGTCCCCTCTCGCACGCCGACGGAGCGCCCCGCGACCGCGAGGGTGCGACAGAGACCGAGCGAGTCGCTGGGCCGCCGCCAAAGTGCATCGCATTGACGAGGTTCAGCCTGCAGACTGAGAGTCGTTATCGTCGCTCTGTCTCTCTCGCACTCATGCGGCGTGCCCTAAAGGTGCGAGAGAGACAGAGCGACGAAAACGACTCTCGGAATCAGTCTGCTGAAATATCACGCGGCCCCAGGAGGCGCCGGCCGGCCGGCCAAGCGGCCACGCCCCACCGGCTGTGAAAATGTCATCGGTGCGTGCACACTGGCGTGCACAAGGACGCCAGCGCAGTGTGGCCGCACACTGTATTACAGACTTAAAGTCGCCGACAACGCCCTTGCACCAGTGCCGATAGGGTTGCCAAC